GGCACAGTCATAGCGTGGTCTGGCCACAGCAGCCATAAACATAACTTTAGTTATAAACCGTTTGCTTTTACAGTGCCTTTCTGGTTCTGCTTCGTCCAGCGTGATGTAGAATGACTTTTTAACTTGCGATAAGTACAAACAGAACTCTAGTTTCGTTCTTTTGTTACAGTCCGTTAGTAGTTAGGTTAGTATATCATAATATAGGACAGAGGGAGTATCATTTTATTATACTTAAAACTTCAATATAACGGACTTGGTTAGAATGCACTTCGAATATAACTGACAAACAATAAAATAGCAATGCATCGTCTGAAGATGTACTCTCTATCAACTTACTGCTCTATCAAAATGCGAAATACCGGTGCATTTGGAATCAGATTTTATGTTTGTAGGAGTTGCTGCACGATCCATACAGCAGATTACTGGGAGATCATAAATTGTTAGCATTTGACCTGGATGGGATAAAATCCAAGAATCTGCACCCTGATTAAAAAAAAGTTTTAAATGGTCCAAATACTGTGCGATCCAGAGGCTGTAATTTATTTAAAATATGTGGCGGTAAAGTTGCGATCATTATACCATTGGCCTTACTGTAATCAAGTGCTTCAACTCTTCTACTGTAAAAAATAACGCAAAGATGCATGATATAACAGACAATGGCAATGTTACTGTGATTTTAGGGATGGGGGCTGCTATGTGACCTGGGTATGACATGGATCTGTATGTTGATTCTGATCTTGGTGTTTTGTTGGTGAGTGTCGTCATTTGTCTGTTATTGTTTCTTGTCTGAATTCTTCTAATTAATTTAGAGATATAATCTAGGGGGAAGTCATTATTGTGTGCTATTGTTCTAATGATCATTAATTCTTTTTCTCTGTTTATATTGTTAAGAAGAGTTGTCATAGATCTGTATATATATGCATGAAATACTGCATTTTTATGGGAGTGATGGTGAAAAGAAGTGTATGGGATTACCGTATCAGTTTGTGGTTGTTGCAGTTGCAGTTTAAGGTCGAGGTACGGTAAAGCGTTGTTCTGTTCCAGTTCCATTGTGAAGTGAATGTTGGGTTGAAGGTCATTAAGGAGTGAATGCAAATCCGTGACAGTGTTGTGTGCGATGGTTCTCCAAATGACTAGGACATCATCCACGTATCTTTTCCAACAGATGATATTTTTGGTTATGTCACTTCTTGTGCGGAGTAGATTGCTTTCGAGTTTGTCGAGAAAGAAATCCGCCAGGAGTCCACTCAAAGGGGAACCCATGGGATGGCTGTCTAAATATCTATATAATTTATTGTCGAAAAAACAGGTGTTTTGGGCTAGGCAAACAAGTCTAGTTTATTCTTAAAGTAATCACATCGATGGTGTTTTTCCAAAAGGGCGAACGCGCCATTTTGATGTTTTGAGAAAATGATGAAAAACTGTTTGATACGTTCTTGTAAGAGCAAACTAGTAAGTAATGCATTTAGGACTTCAAGTATTCATTAAATGTAATGAAAATCACTAAAAATTACATAAAACTACAAACAGTTCTTTGTTTATCATTATCAAGTGCTAAATTTAATATTCGTTTAGTTCTATTCGACATATTTAAGCTTATTTGGTAGTAACCACTAACTTCGCTAAAATAACGCTACTTAAAATAAAATGAAATAAGTGAGGTTATAATTCTAATACAAAAACAATACACGTTCGCCCTTTTGCCATTTAGGAGTACTGAATATTCGTCCTTTTGGATAAACGTCTACAGCACGTTCGCCCAGAGTAAATTTAGTTTTTTTTGCTACTAATTCCTTATTGTGATCCTAATATGTTCGGCCTTTTGCCAAAATGACCGTAGAATTCGTATATATAATCTGGTACATAAAAGTCAAAATTGCAAATTTGGCGCGTTCGCCCTTTTGGAAAAATACCATCGACATGTAATGGTTAGAGTCTCTGATACCGGGATATTTGTATACAGATTGGTGACGTCAAACGAAACCAATTCAAATCTGTCAGGAATGTGCAGATTTAGTGGTTCCTCGATCAGTTGTTGTCTATTTCTTATGGTATGCATCGGTTTGAAATCTAGGTTAGTCAGAATAAATCTGTTAATATTTTTTTCCAATTTATGGGTATTTGAGCCTATGGCAGAAATTATTGGTCGTATAGGGTTGTTGGGCTTATGTAATTTTATGAGGGAATATAGAGTAGGATTTTTTGGGCTCATTGGTAGTATATTAGAGATTTTAATGTTATATTTATCTAAGAATGATCTGGAGTCTTTGAGGACCTTTTTAGTTTTTGTGTGTAAGGTATAGGGTTGGTTTTTATTTCTTGTGCTGTTCTCAGTCCTTTGTAGGAGAAGTCGATGATTTTTCTCTCGATCTTTCTCTTGCAGGTTGTATCTTGCTGCCGCTTCCAGTTCTATGCTCAGGTGATTCAGTCTGGGGTGGTTCGATAGTGCATATTTGTGTCTCTTGTTTAGAAAATTTTGTTCGTTAGTTGTAAAGGTTATATTGGTCAGGTTTGTTATTAGGGTGAAAAGTAAATGATGTTTGTTGTTGAGTTAATTGTAGTTTTTCTTCTTTATTTCTCTTTCCAGCCATGAGTTTGTCAATTTTCCTTTGTTTTCTTCTCCAATTATCCAAAAGGATACCATTTTTTTGTGTTCCTTAGCCTGTTCTATAACTTCTTGTAGTTCAGAGTAATGTAATCTATTAGTTAATAATCTTTCCTACTGCTTCTGCCCCTCTGTATAACTCTTGTGCCGCCTTGATAAAATAAGTATGGATTATGATTTCTTGATGCATTACAAATATTTTCTATTCCTAACCTCTTTCTCCATCAGTTTTAGTAGTTCTAGGTTAAATGTTAGTTTTAGTGCCAGTGTTAACTCTCGTTTTATTCTAATTATCATTTTTACTTTAAATTTGAAACGTAATGAAAAAGAAAACATTTTCTCATTTAACATAAAAAACTAAAATCTGGTTTGTATAAACGAGTTTGAAGTTGTAAAAGAATATACGACGCCCTGAGAACATAAAGTGTTTATATTGTGCCCTCGAGACTCCCGGAGTTCGACCATATTTACGATTTTTAACACAGAAAGAAACCGTTTCTACTAGTTAAATGTCTTCTCATAACGAAACGAGTTGAAAAATTTATGTATTTTTGATGACTGCATGAATTTAGATAACGATCGGGTGGTATCAATCATTTCTTGACTCAATATTATGCAAATGAGAGCAAATTTAGAACAAGGTGTTTACCGCAAAAACTTTTTAGAATAAAAAATTTTCAAAAAATAGGATCTGTTTTATTTGATTCTATTTTTATGGGACTTTCTCGAATCTATTTCAATATCCTCACCTAATTTTAAAGTCGAAAGGGAGAAGACGAACAGCTATTAATCTCGCCGCTTCGACAGTAAAAAGATATCGAGGGGGTTTGATGTGTAGGGGTAGAAACGAAAAGTTCAAAGCTGTCGTGGATTTCGTGGAAATCTCCGCTTTGTCGTTGAAACTTAAAAGAAAATAAACCCATCCCATGCAACGTCGTTGATATATCGACACAAAACTTAACTTGGCAACACTAACTATTTAGAAGATAAACAGTCTCTCTTGTATCTTTATTTATTTATACCAAAAACAATTCGTTTGTCTTACGATAAAGAGGAAAACGTGTAAAACCCCGGTTTATACGTATTCCTAAGTTTATTTCTACAAAAGCAATTTTCGCCGTACCAAGCTCGTTTTATGTTTCTAAAGCTCACCGTGCTTTTAATAAAGTTGTAAAGAACTACAATATGCTTTTTTTTTCAGGCTCTTTTATCCTTTCATCTTCAACGCACCAAAACTTCTACTCAATCTATTTTAGAAGACCACGCATCGAATACAAGTTAAAACACTTTAAAACAGTTAAATTTAAAGTTTCAATTTAAAAAAGAAGAAAATAAATTATAGAAATTAGTCGCCTGATTTTAATAGGGCGAAAGTTAAAATCAAATAAGGCGGAATGCACGCAAATGTGCATGGAGCTGATAGGAACGAGTGGCGACTTCCTCCGGATGAAACGCTTCAGGTCGCCGACCCAAAAGCGAAGAAGGCCGAGGTAGGTGAGGAAGAGGTCAGTACTCCAATCTTTTTCAAGCAGCAAGGACCTTTTTAATGGGAATGCTGTAATTTAACGTTGATTGCCACCTAATAAAATTGTTCTTTTTCTGACGCCTTAAAGAATTTTTGAAAAAAATTAGATGTTGAGGCGTTTCTAGTTATGACTGCGATTGGTTTTGGGTTTAATCTTTCAAATCAAAACCAATCAATAAAAAAATCACTGATATCATTACCAATTTTTTTTTCTCCATCAGTGATTTTTTTTCTGTCATATTCTTAGTGCATCTGGATATGTGGTATGTATTCTTACTTGAGGTAGAGATTGGAATGGATACTGACTGACCTAATAGTTTTAGATCAATTAGAAGGTTTTTAAAGTTTGTAGTTTTAAGAATCACTTATTTATAGGCTTATTTATCAATTTATTAAAGAATAAATTTTGTGTTCAATTAAGAATACCTCTAGATTAATTGGATTATCCATTCACAGGAATTAGTATCTCTTTTAGGTGTTGGACACTGCAGATAATAATCAAGTTCAACCTCAATAGGACTTTTTTCAATGATTATTAATTAAAGTATCCTCTTTTTAATATAACAAGCCGTTTTAAAAAATCACGTTTAGCATATTTGAAGTTTTGATCAAATTTTCGATGTTGCAATTTTCATCGACAATTTTCAAAATTCGCTATAAAATTAATTTCTTGAAGGATCCTTGTGGAAATATCACCATATTGTTAATTAAAGTATCCTCTTTTTAATGCAACAAGCCGTTTTGAAAAATCGCTTTTAGTTTTTGAGAAATAAATTTTTGAAATGATCTTCAAAAAAGTACGATG